CATCACTTGACGAATGTTCAGTTCATGCATTTGCGGTTTTGCCAAGCCCAGACCAAGAACCTGACTCACCCCTGCGGCCGGGCCTAAAGGGCCGTCGCGCGTTAATTAATCAAAAAACTGTTGAGGCTGCCTCCAGTGGCTGTTGAAGCGGCTGCCGCTGCTGTTGCTGTTGATTTTCGTGGTGCTGGTGTAGGTTGAGATGTAGCTGTTGCTGCTGCTCTTGCCTTTTCTGTGGCTGGTCAACGAACCTGGCGACGTTTTTGTCGCTGTGTGCCAGCAATTAAGAGCAGGGTAGCTCAATCAAAGTGCATTGGATTGGCTTGATTCGAAATAAGCCAGATATTTAATTAAATGCTGAATAATGTAGCACGTGTTGCGTCAGGAAGTGTCTCATTCAGCGTACCCACTTCCGATGCCAACACCGACATCAGTGCTGTCGGACCGCCCCTCGCAGTCGACGTGCAAATTTTAGAAAAGCAATTTTGGTAAACGCAAACAAAAGTTGCGATTGCAGGCCGGCAAGTCAAAGAATATGAAAAAAAAAAATTTGAAATTGAAAACCCACGAAAGGAAATGGACGCAACGTGGGCGATGCCACAGAACCAACAGAAGACCAAACAAACCAACTGGCAGACAGAGTCAACAGTCAAAGAAAGCGCCAGATATGTCTATAGAGTGACTACAAACAAGAGATAAATGGATCTCAACACCTACACCAGCAGCCAAAAAATCGACAATGGGTAAATCAGAAATTTCACTGCTCTCAACCTGCAATGTCAAATACGTATATTGCCACGCAGCGCACGGCAGATCAGCTGTGAGTTGGCTTCTTTTTTGGCAGGCCTGTAATTAGAAGACGGCGTGGGGTGCGCGAGGGCGGATCTGTGGTGCGCACCAAAATGTAAATTAGAAAGCGACAACGCTTACACAAAGTAGCGTGCATTAATACCCTATACTACAAATATTATGAATTAGATATATATATATGAAAATAAAAACGTGTAAGATGCAATGATGTTCGGCCTTTGACGAGCAAGGATAATAGAGCTGCCTTTAAAGGAGTAAAAACATCCATTGGCTGATCGTACAATTTGTGTCAAAGGTTTGTAGCTTTAAGCATTACAACTATCATTTATATAACTTTATCCTATCATTATTCTACAAGACTCACCTAGATTCAACTAATAACTATAGTATACTTTTCAGCTTACTTACTCTTGCTTATATTGCCTAACGCAAAAGTAGATGCAGGGTATTGTCTAGTCGTTACCCTCTTCGTTTGACTTAACATTGTTGTCAATCACAGTCTGTCAGTCATTCAGTGAGTTATTCAGGCAAACAGCGTTTTTTAACTCAACCAAGTTCCAGACATGTCACAAATCGTTCAGGTGTAAAATAATTTGTCTCGTTTTGCCAAGCAATCGAATCAATAAAAGACGTGAATGCTGCAAATGCCATTCAACCATTATCGTTAGAAAAAAAAGTGATAAAAACAAAAACCAAAAATCGTGTCATTTAATGCGGCAGCACATTACACCTGCGGCTAAGGCCCCTTAATTGCACTGTCTTTTGCCTCCTGCGGTGCTCCTTTGACACCTTGTCTTTGACTTTTCTTCCACTCGTGCTTTTGCCTATGCCCCCACGTACGCGACGACAGCAGTTCAGAGGATTTTACTCCTTTCATATGGGCTTAGCGCACTTTCTCGCATCTGTTTGCATACCTCCACATGTGTCATTGTGGGTTTGTCTATGTATGTGAGCATGAGCATGTGCGATGTGCTTGCCTAACCCTTGATTGCCCCACTTTATTCATAGACAAAATCAAAAAGATGTAAATAGAATTGAGTGTCGCACGTGCACTTAAGTCTTGGTGCACGCGTTTAAGAATCTTTTGTAGGTAAAATATCGATGATGAAATTGCACTATCTACGACGACATTAAATGATCGCCAAGAATCAAAACTTCGTTAATATTTTTATATTGGCATACAAAATTTGTATTTTTCTTTATACAAACAAAAATACATAGTCCAAAAAAAAATATATATATACAAATATAAAATATTCAGATACAAAAGGTGCTAGACAGAAAAAGAACATTTTTTTTCTTAGATTTTTTTGATGCATCTTGGAAGTCATATAAAATGCCATAAAAGAGCAGAGTACGTTCAAAAGACAAAGCCAAGCAATTTAATTTCCTGCCCAATGCTAGTAATTCAAAAACGGTTTCCGAACGTTTTCCCAGAATATTAATAAGTCAAGTCACAATATCCAAGAATTATGCAGTCAAATTGCTTTTTTATCATGTTTGACAATGTTCCGGCAATTTCAGAAGAGTTACTTGAGAACTGTCGACGAGAAGAAGCTCCAGCAACCAACCCACCCACCAGAATGTACTGAACATGGACGCATTGCAAAAATTTTTTGCATTTAAATAAGTTGTGCAAAAAGTTCATTTGATAACAACTGATAAAACGACAACATTGTATACGAATCCGACTTCCAGTTAAGGGATATGAATTGTAAGGTGGGTTTATTGAGTAAACCAAAGACAACAGATGCAATCTGGACCGCAATCGAGTGCCAATCATATTGTATTTCAATCCATTTGCATTTTTCACAGCTTCAACTCACAAGTGCTTTCTTGGCAATACTTCTGAGAATATGCATTTTCTGATACCTTAAGCTTCATGTTTTTCATACGGCTTGATTATGGATTTAAAGCAGTTGGAAAGCGATACAGAAAAGTAAATCGAATTGAGAAAAGTTTATAGGAAGAAACGTTATAAAAAAATTAAATGGTACTTCATAGAATATTGAATATGTATAGAAAAGTAGATATAAATTAAGTTTTTCATATATTTTTAATGCTTATAAAGCTGTCACATATTTAATTATACAATTTATTATGAATGATAAATGATAAACGAAGAAAACTACATATTGGTTGCAAGCGCATTATCATTATTTATAATTATATTCAGATATGTCTATATTTCAAAGAAGTGCAATAATTTGCGTCTAATTCGACAAACACAATGAACAGGTATTTAATATAAACATATTACGAGTGAAATGCATTTAATTCTTTTTCAGCAAGTGAAAATAAATTTTGAAATAAATTGTTCATTTAATGGATTGCCGCTGAGGGAGCGGCCAGCTACACAGCAGGTTTGACTGACTTGTTGACTGGTTGATTGCATGAATGCCTGACTGCCACACTTGCAACGCGTGCAACATGTTAATGAGCTGTCGTTCCATTAGCGGTTGCCATTTGGGTCTTTTCTTTTTGCACTGCAGCTGACGTCATTTATGGATAGTTCACGAAAATTATGAAAACTGTGTAGTAGTCGTGATGCATTGTTCTTATTTTCGTCCGCATTGGCGACCCATGACAGCAATTTTGTCATCGTGTCGGTGGCTTGCATTTTATTATTGAAGAAGCAGTTGGCCAGCTCATTTTACTGATGTTGTGATAGCAATGTTGGTGTTTCTGCTGACACTGTTTATTATTGACAACGCCGGCCTGGTAAGCAAGGCAAACCAAACACAGTTGTCACAGGCAACACAGACTACGCAGTCAACCAGCCAGCTAACATACATCACGCTTATCTGAACGGCCTGTCCCACACATGGCCCAATTAGGCAAAACAAAAGTGTTTTAATCACAACAGCGATAAAATAGTGAAATATGTTGTGGGTTATAGCAATGGCTATCTGTTAAGCTGGCGGGAAACACAAGATTTATGGGACATTTAAACTTGAATTTGTGGCATTGGTCATGCGGGCAGCAATACTTTGCCAAAGACTTTATGGCCTCAGCAAACGACTTTAATGCTACGGTAGCTGCCGGCTTCCTGAGTTACAGGTAAAAAGGGGGTATAAACTATTTCCTTTCAAAAATTTGATCAAGGAAAATTCTCGGAACATAATCTTGCATTTGAAAATCTCTATACCTGCCCATAGGAGTTTTAAAAATTAAATTCACTTAAAAACTATTTACATAATGTAGCTTATATCTTAGGAAGTCTTTAAGTTTTCATTTCTCCATACTTTAGTAAGGCTATCAACTATTACTATAACCTGAGTGCTAGCCAAACTTCTAATGGCTTTTACGTTGGGCAGAGTATTTGAAAAAGTAAGCGGATTCCCATAAAAATGCTTGCTTGCTTTAAAGTATTTATTTGACACATGCTAGCTCAGACTTGCACATTGGTAAGTGTTTAACATGTGGAATTATGAACACGCGACGTTGTGCGAAGCAAAAAAAAAAAAAATCGAGTTAAAAATTGCAAACCAACTGTTTTTTGGGTGGGCGCACACTACGTATGATTAACGTGGCTTCCAAGTGTGAGTCGCAACTGAACGTCTGAGGCTTTTAATGCAACTGTGATATTTTTAAATCATTTAAATTTCTCGTGCATTTTCTGTGGCCAGAGGGTGGCTCGGGGATGTGGGATGCTTCCAGCGTATTAAATGACATGATATTACCATTAACAATGGCGAAAAAATAATAATAAAAATTAAATTATTGAAATGTCAAGCGCCGGCCGATTTACGAACATGCATAATTGCATGGCCAATAAAATTTAAACACTCATTGAACTGTCAGTCGGTGATTATTGGCCTCAAATGCAGTCGATAATTAAGCCGAACGCGTTAAGAGCGCATAAATTAAATGTAATGAGCAAAATTAAATAACTCGTACAGAAATATCTCTTGAAGACATGTTCTCGGCGTTGGTCTGAAAGTGCAAACCACAGCAAAGTAAAGACGAAAACTCAGGCGAACGCCCACTGGGACAACCGCCCATTAATGTTGCGGTGGCATCATTAAAAAAGTGCCGTACACAGCACAAAAAAACCCCAAAATAAAAACCACGAGCAGACAGTTAGACAGCCAGACAATTGGACGGCCAGACAGTCGGCACATTATTGGTAATCACAATATTTATGTGCGTTTAACGACACGACAGGCAAAATTGTTGAAACAAATCATTGACAGCTGCTTCAGAGTTTACAGTAAAATGTTGTCTTGACTTCGCCTTGTGATTTTCTTTTACTTTTTTTTTGCATTTCTATTGCCTTTCTTTGGTATATTATCAGTTTTTAACTGTTTAACGAAACTTTTCACACTATAAATTAATTTACCACGCTTGAAAAGTAAGCATGGGAATCCTTGTAAGTAGACTGTATAAGCCAAATCTAACTCTGTTCACAATTTTTATTTAAATTTACAGGAGTTGGACATAGAATTTTGTTCCAACTAAACTCCAACCCAATTCCAATTCTCGATGACACAGAAATATTTTTTTGGTTGTGTGTAAACACCCATGAGAGAATTTGATAAATCAATGAACGTGCGTCGATTTACTGAGTATTCTGTATAATCTGTTTCAAGCTTTTCATTTGATAAATTTTATTTAGAAAATTCAAATCCAAAAGCCAACTGCCTATACATAGTATTTACATTTTTTTGTTTCGAAGATTTTTCTAATGAGTTTATTGATGACGTGTTTTTTTCAATTGAAGGAGGATGAAGTCCTTGATCCAACTATATAAATGAGAGCACGGCTAATAACATTATTATTATATTTTCTGTATTATGCATGCCATAATAAAAACTTATAGATCTGGAAGATTCCTAATTTAATAAATTTTTATGAAAATTTGATTACAATTTGTTTAAAGCTTGAATAATATATTACCTAAACAAACCAACAAAATAATACTTGCCTTAATTTGTGTCAAATATTTTCAATTGCCTCGAATAAATTTAATAACAATCACTTTATGCTTTTCTTCTCATGGCAAGTTTTTTTTAGACTATTGAAATATATTTCCCCTCTCTTTACATACATGTTTCACACTTTGTCAATATAAATGGATGTTCCAGCTGTGCGCACTAACAACAATTTACATGTTGCATTTATTTTAGTCTTTGCAAATTTGTATTTTCGTATTTGCTGACACAGAGCAATTGGCCATAGATTGGAAATCTCCTATATATGCATATACATTACAAAACCCTAATTGAAATTGTTTGAATTTTTTTTGGTCAGCTGCCTTGAATTTTGTGGCGTTGCTGCCAAAGTGGCTGATAAAATTAATAGAATAAAATAGTCTGCAAAAAAATCTATACAAACACGAATTGGGTGTAAACGAAAAACTAATTTTAAAAAATATTTAAAATTAGATTAATAAAATAAAATGAAGTATTTTTTTATATAGGTATATAGAGGCAAGCTCGCTTAATTTATTCTTTTCTCAATCGTAGTGACCCAATTTCTTAAACGATTTAGCTTGAATAAATAAATTGACTACACTTAATTTAAAAGAGCTCCGCGACGGCACTAAAGCATCAGCAAATAGATTGTACCAAAAATTCAATTAGGTGTCACAAATCACTGACAGATTCAAGTTGGGCGCATTTCTATGGGCTGTGATAAGATTTGGCGGAAGTTGCGAGCAATACGAGCTGACAGACAGACTGGCGGACAGAATTGGCCTGATTTTATAGTAGATGTTTGTATATACAGTATACATTCGCATGTGTGTGCGTGATGTGGGTTGCATAATAGACTATTTCCTGTTATTGTCAGTCAGCTGTGAAGTCAATGACATGTAAAATTTGTCAAGTAATTGCCTAACAGAAACAGAAAATGGCAAAAAAAAAAGAATAAAAATCAGTTGAGGCTTTAAAAACATTTTTATTGTGCTTCAAAGGAAGTATATATCGGTTTTGAAAAAACTTGAAAACGACAAATTGTCGTACGAATAGGAAACGAAGTTCCGCCAAGAGAAGAATGGTTTCAAGTAAGTAGCTGCTAAATCTGTAAGCGAAGTATATGTCACAATCACATAATCAACATGCCATGCCAGGGCACGCATTCAATATTGAAAATCACAGAAATGAAAAATGCCAAAGCAAATGAAAAATACTTAGATACAAATGCCATTTGCAATTTAAACGTACGTATTCCTATTTTTGTAATCGTATATTACTGTAAGTATGAGTGTGGTTATGATTATAGGTGTGAGTTTAAGTATGGGTATGCTCATTCATACGTTATCCTGGCTGGTATTTCCTGTGCATTCATCTAAGCAATTGCCATAGCTGTTGAGAATTGACTGTGCTCAATGCTCACTGCTCGGCTAAAATTGTTCAACTTGAATGGCTGCTTATCAAGCTTATGTTATGTCTTTTATAGTGTGTCGTATTCCGGAAAAAGGTAAATGCAAGGTAAACTAATCTGATTTTTTAAGGCATTCAGAAAATATTAACTGTATGTTATATTTTTATTTAACAGTTTAATTTTGTTTGTATCCATATAATCTCTTAAGAAATTCTCCATAAGATTTCAAAGTGACCCTTAGTAAATGCTGCACAGTGTAATTAAGGAGAAAACGTTTTTGGGACTGCCCGTTTTTCATGCTTGATGTCATATTTATGCGCATTTTACAGCTGCCTTAAATCAGCGCTCGGCCTATCAACATTACCACACACGACCACGCCCACATACTTTTACACACGCACACACAACAAGCTGCCGCTTTAGACCCTTGTGCTGCATAAAAAACCACATGATTAGCAAGGCCAAGCTGCGTGTGCGTGTGAGTGTGTATGTGTGTGTTGTTCTGCGTAGAAGAGGCGCCTGTTAAAACTTGAAAGAACAACTTCGCATATGCTGCCGGGTTCGTATTGCATGTGGGTATCGCTGTCCAGCTAACAACTTCATAAATATGTCGAGCATGAGTATCGCATAACAACCCCGTGCAAGCTCGTGGCCAGCTTTTAAGACCTCCAACTCTTAAAAACTTCTGGGCAGAGATTTGTGCGTGTCATCGCTCAAAGCGAACCATTTTTACGCTTCCGTTCAGCAACAAAATGGAATTAAACGCAGATCAATCACAATCTACACACCAAACTGACCCACATAGACACATGATATTGGGGGCAGTGACAGTGACAGGGGTAGGTCTTAAAGTTTCAGTCTATCCATAACTGACATTTGAACTTTGGCGTTCGCACTTTTTTTTTTTTTTTTTTGGGCTACGAAGTTTTTATATTTGCTGCCTTATTCTGCATGTGGCTAGAAAGTGTGAAGTTTCCTTAATTTGCCTTTGCCTTAAGCTGGCTTTATGTGGACTTGAAATTTATAGATCCCTCATCACTCTCTTAGATTTTCGATATTTAGCAGCATTGCCCTCATCCATTCATTTTAATTAATTGCCAACAAATTATAAAGCTTGAGTCTATTTTTAGTCGAGAGTTTGTTACTGCTCGAATTGGTTTCAAAGTCACATTTTGACACATTTTAGGTCACAAATTGAAAACTATTTGTTTCTGTCTGACCAAATGAACTGAAAATTGTGAACAAGTTGAGAAAACTTTTTCATTTGCAAGCTTTGAGTAGGGACATTTGCCGGTGAATATTTTGGTTGAATATGTTTAAATCAAAGTAAGAAGTTTCTATGTGCTTAAATTATTTAGCAAGCTCTAGTTATTTTATTGTATGTATAATTATTTATACATTTCTATAAAAAGCTATTCTCTCTAGACAGTAAAAAAGAAATAAAGTACTAATACAAGTAATATTAATCCCTTATTAATATTACCTATAACTTAAAGCCCATGTTAAATAAAGCATTTAAAATTAATATTTACAAATATTTCTTAAGGCAGCTCGATGTGCAGGGTGCGAAGTATCTTCTGACTGATTGACTAAGTGACTTCTTGACCGACTGGTGATCAATGCACAACCCAGACCGTAAAAGCTAGGAGGCTGAAATTTTCACTGTAGTCATTGTTCAGATTCATTTAAGGTGTGTTTCGCACTTTTTGAAAAGGCAGCCCTCCTTGGTGGAAATGGCGATCAAAGACTTGGTGGGATACGTTTCATGTTCAAATTTACTTTTTAAGGATCAATACGAAGTTTTTTCTGATTTGCTTCAAACTTATTTTGAAAAACTTAATGAATGAGTGTTTCACCGATTTGGGAAATTCCACTCGCAACAGTGGTTAATTAGCGAAAAGCGGTGCATGAAAGTTTTTGGAATGCAAATACGGGTCAGAGGTTGAATGAATGAAAGGTTATTCTTCAGCTTCAAGATTCTCACCGCAAGTCTTACATGGGAGAAAACCGTTGATTCCAACACTTGCCTATTTATTCGATGAGCATAAAACATATTTCTAAGATGTGTAGATTTCAATTTTTCTCGGGTGTGCACTTAGTAGAAAGGTACTATCTAAAATTTTTAGCACAAAACTTTTCACAGGCAAGGCCGGGCAATATACGCTAGCATTATAATACAACAAACCAATTTTTTTTTTATTAAATATTTCCAATATAGTTTAAATCCTTTTGGCAACCTGAGCTATTTCAAAACCAGGCCAGCTAATTTATACCATGGAAAGGCCGCAAACATTATCATTACAAATCAAGTGTCAAAAGCTCTTGTTATTATATGTATTGGATATAGTAACCCCCAAAACTAAGACAACACTTCATCTCTGCACTTGCCTCGGATTCAAACCAGAAACCTTGTTTAATTTGGCTATTTGATTAGTTAGTTTATTAGCCTCAATTTAGTGCAATATTAATGTATATAGGCATATGGCACTTTTCAGATACGTTGCTTTGCATCGCCACACACTTGATTGCAAATTTTACCAATTCTCCTTTGTTACAACAAATTTGATATATATGCCAACATGCGTATTTGATCAAAAACCAATATGCCTCCACTTTTGCCGCCTCTATCAAAACACGCACATAAATTACAAATGAAAGTTTGCACAAGCTCGAAATGCATATGGAAATTTTAATGAAATATTAAAACTGATGTGGACGCATTTCCTAGTGCATTCTAGGGTCAAAAGTGTGAGCTGTGTGCTGTAAAGTAACTTGGTTAACAACGTCGAACTTTTGACAACATTTAAGGCATAATAATTAAATAAACTGCACTAGCTAGTGAAATAGATACACAAATATGTGGCAATCATTTAAATTAATTGCATGATTTTTCGCACGGCATTTGCATTTCAAATGCAAATGTTAAGATTAATCACTGTCAACTAAATGTAAAATGAACAGATACTTAAAAGCTAAATCGGAGTCCAAGGCATGGCGCTTATAAATTGCGCAATGGCAATGCGCGCGATACTCACTCAACTATTTGCCGTCGCATGAATTGCAATTGCAATTCAGATTGAGTTTGCGTTTAGTTTGCAATTGAAATTGCAATTGAATTTGGGCTTGAGTTTTGGCTTGCTGTTCAGGGTGTTAAACAAGCGCCGGTAATTTGCGCGAACAAGCTGTGATTTGCACTTCAATTTTGCAAATTTTGCAAATTTGGCACGAAAAATTTCACCCGTTGCCACTTGGGAGACGATGAGTTTTGGTATCTGCCAGTTGCGGCAGTTGCAGCAGTTGCAGCAGTTGCAGCTGCGCGCACACTTCACTATCGTCGTATGTCTGCCGCAGTACGTTTTGTATCTCAGAGATGCACACGCGATTTGGCCAATTAATTTTTAAAGGCTTGTTGCAAATCGTTTAGCCCAACACTAAAAATCACCGCAATACAATCTGCAATTGACACTGTTTTCAGCCACGTTTCATTAGTTGGCAGCGTGAATAAATCTTGCTCTTGTTGCAGTCATTTAGGTCTTCCTGTCCTTCCGCGTAGCAGTCGCACTTGGCTTGTATCTTCCACTTGCCGAAGGTCGTGGCGCAGCTCAACTGTGCAACATAAAACACAACCACATTTCATTTGCACTTATTACGAATAGTATTTCGCGATATTCCGTTACGAGAGTTTTGGCTATTTCGGTCGCAAGAAATTCGCCGTCTGGCTCATTCACAATTTCGCATTGAACTGAATTTGTGTGTGGCATCGTCGTGCGGATTTTCCTGTTTGCTGCTGGTGTTGCTGCTGCTGCTGTTGCTGCTGCCGTCGTCAACGCACAGTGGTCTCTTTGACAAAATGTGTTCGAGTGGGTTTGTTTATTGTTTGTTAAAATACTTTCATTTATTCAAAATAGTATTGTTGGAGTAATTTAAGAAATGTTGTAATCAATATATAGATAACTTGTTTTTAAAATGATTATGTTTATCTAGTCTGTTATTTGTATAAATTTAATTTCAATTGCATACGAACATATATTTTTTATTAATAAATTTACTATATCTAACCATTTTTAAATAGTATACTCGTATATTTGAGTATATCAGAAATAAATTGTAGAAGTTTGTATAAGTGTCTAATCCAATTTAGCTTCTAAATTTAAGTATTTTAAATTTAAATATATAGTTTTCGTTTATTTCATATATTTCAAATTTTAAACGGCCATAATTTTTTCATTATTCTATCTATTTTCAACAAAAAATTTCCCAATGGACCCACTGTGCAGCGACGGCGTCGTCGCTGCTTGATTTCACTTCAGAAAGCTTTGCCGGCGCCAGAAACTGAAGGAGAAACATAAACAGCTGTTTTTTGTTTATGTTGCCCAACTAGTTTGCGCACATGTTGCCTGCTAATATGTTGCCGCTGCACTTGAATGTTGCACGTCAGTTTCTGCCACTGCACGTGATGACGTGGATGTGCATTGCCAAGCTAAGTGCTTCAAGTATGGAGTTAATATTTGTAATAATTCTGGCATTTTATTAATTTGTCTACGTGGTCAGCAACATTTTCTGTGCAACATTTTGTTGCACAGCAACATGATGAAGCTTTTTGCGTAGCAGCTGTATGTGCAACATTTAGAGCTTTCTTATCAAATTGCTGCTAAATACCATTAAAACAACAACTTATGTTTAAGTCAAATATTTAAATTTTTTGCCGACATATGCTAGATTAAGAACAATATAAATTCCATTATGAGAACAATAAATATTGTATTATGAAAACATTTTAGCATATATTTATATAAATGTAGAATGGCTGAAAGTGTTTCAGCTCTTTTTTTACTATTTGCAAATTTGTTAAATATAAAACACCTCTTCAAATATCTAGAAATAGGTATAATGATGCTTATACAACATATGAACGTAAAAATCAAAAGTAAACATTTATTTCATTTCGTCCATATTTCCATTTGAAATGATTCGTACCTCGTTTTGTTTTTTGATTTTATCCAAGCATATTTTTAATGTTTATGACTTTAATTGATTTGAGTGACGCAAAAATGTTGACCGAAATACTAATGCATTTCATTTCATTCTGCTTTGGTGTCTCAAGACAAAAGAGCCATGCATAAAAGGCGACAGATCTTTAAGAAATACCACAAGACAAAACATAAGCCCATAAAGTGATATACCAGTAGTTCAGTTTGAGTTGTTGTTATTGTTTTTGGTTTAAATTATGAATGCATGAGCAAAAGCCATCAAAATACAAATAACCGTCAACAATCAAAGCCAAACAGAACAATTTGTTATTGCACACACAATGGCAACAGCCGCGTTTATGAATATCGCATTTTAACTCAATTCGAAAACTTTGGCAGCATCGCATAAATAAACGAAGTGCTTTATTTATTTATTTTTTATTCCAATATCTGCAGGCAAATTTATTATTGTTGTATTTATTTATTACGCACATTTAGTCATAAAGCACAGCGCACAGAGAAATGAGACAACAATTTCAGCGACTACGATGAATGCCGACACTCGTCATGTTCTCCTGTCAAGTGGGAATGTTTAAAACAACAGACGAACAACAATAAAAAGCGCTTAAACTAAACAAATATAAACGCATGAATTTATTTACTTGTTGGTCACACACATATAATATATATATATATAAGATAATGTGAATTTTATAGTATACGTGCCTGGCGTAGTGTTTGCAATACCCTAGACTTCAATTAAGGAAAAATTGTTTTTATTTTATTTATTTTTATTTTATTTATTATTATTTTTTAGTTCTCATTATTTTATATAAGTATTATTATTTTTGAATCATTAACCATTTTATTTATATATATATATATATATATATATATTTTAAATTGGTAAAATAATATTAATTCAGTGGGATAATTCTGTTATGAATGAAAGACCCCACAACAAATTTTCTTTTCAATAAAAATAAATAGAAAATGTTTGAAGCATTTTGTAAAATATAATTTAAGACGTCAAGGCGCGTTGGTGTTTCATGTAGATAAATATGTTGATCTCGACGACAGCTGACAAATTTATGAATCTGTGAGATATCTACATGCGCATCTAGCTGCTAATTGACCTGCTAATAATGTTAGTATATATAGCTACTTAGCCATGTACTTGTTTATTTTCTTTGGCTAAGAGCTAACACGCGCCAATTTACTACTTGGCCAATTTGTACGCATTTTGTTAGATTTATGATATAAACTTGGGACGCTAAATATGTATCAGGAGTGTCTTGGCGCCTTAAGCATGTCTAATGCGCGTTTGGTCACATAAAATGATTTATAACATTATTTATGACTGTTTCAGTGTAATATCTACTTATTTAAATACCAGTAATCATATTTTTGTTTTCTCTTGTGAAGCTATTGGAATCAACAATTAATTTGCCACAAGCCAAACAAATCTGTTGATTCAATTCATTTGAAGGACTCAAGCTGATTATAACAAGTGAGCGCAATTCGCTTGGCAAGGACATACTCAAACACAAGAGAACTGCAACTGACATATGCAAATAAACAAATAAAGACCACTCTGAGCGCATTATGGACAGGATGACGAGGATGATGATGTACAAAACGTTGCAATAGAAATGAACAATTGTGTGGACACATTCTTAGCAAGGCAACAGGACCAAACACACAAACAAAGACACGCATCTAACCACACATCGGGAATTGTGGCCAACTGCAGCACGAAACCCATTCAACTTTCAACCAATTCCCAGCCTCAGTTGCAGCCCAGACTGCTATAGAAAATCATAAGTCATCAAAATGTTAACTGTCGTTGGCAATGCATGACTCGATTCTGTGTGTGTATGTGTGTGAGTGAGCATAAGTTACAGTATATACAAAAAGTATTTGAACCAGTAGAAAAGAGTAGTTGAAAATGATAAATTTATAAACGAGCTTGTATATTTTGAATTTATGAATATCATACACTAAGAGTAAGATAGAGAAAGGGGGTAAGATAGGCAAGCAGAGTAAACACAAAAGTAACTAGCAGAGGGAGTGTAGGGAAAATAAAGAGAAGCCAGAGAGATTAAAAGGTAGAGGAAGTGAGGGCAAGAGGAACCAAAATTTAATTCATTACCAGTATAAATAAAAATTATTATTAAAAGTTATAATCTTAATGATAGGTTAGACATTTACAGTCAAATGGAAAAGCAATTCACATTAACGAATAGACGGTTCAAAGTCATAATGACTGTGTATAACAAAAATATTTATCGTAGTCACTGTGCAAATGCCTGTGTCTTGTCCTTGCCTATTGCATGCAACAGCTTGCCAACTATATTATATCCACAGACAAGTATGCGTGATAGTGCGGTGCCCTGCTGTTGCCCAGCAGCGAACACGTCGTGTGCGCAATTTGCATAATGAGTAAAGAATCAAAATGGTGCCGCATGTGGCATGGTTTTGATTTCAACTCAAGGCTGCAGCCAACTGACCCAATTAAGGCGTCTCCATCTTATATTGCAGCCTGACTTCAAGTCTTAGGCGTCTGTAACCTAAGGCATTTTGTGTTATATTTTTCAGATTTGCCTGCCTTAAAGCCATCACGTCGGGATGTGTGGCACTTAGACTGGCATTAAAAATTCCAGAGGCGTACAAAATCTGAGCAGCCGCACTGCTGATACATCCACCCATAAAGGTTCAAAGGTAAATAATCTTATAAAATATTGTACATATTTGTACACACTTATTTATCTACGCAAATCCATGCAGCCCACCCAAGCAAGCAACCGATTTAAACATCGCAATCAACGCACTGCACCAAAGCAGCAGAGCTCATTAGCATTTTGATTTGGTAAAATCAAACAAATATTTCCGGCAAAATGAATGGCAACAAACGTTGAACCTGGTCGCATGTCATTGGCCTTCCAACTGTAACACTTAAAATTGATATCGTTGTGAATCTTAGCTGATTTATCTTAAGTGATTTTAAACGAGAGAAAAGGGCTATCTTCGGCACGCCGAAAATTTATTACCCTTGCAAAACCTACCTTTTAATATTGCGCATAGTGCTTTGCACGTATCAAAAAAGCACAGGGAAAATAGGTAATTCCGACTATAGTAAAGATATCTTCAAAACGAATCTTCATACAACTTATTTTAGACCGATCATTCCTATGGAAGCTTTTTGATATAGATGTTGTTGGGATTTTGCATATATCTTAGATGCATAGTAGAACTAATAAATGCCGAGTTTCTTCAAAATATCTTAATAAACAAGAAATTGTTCCGATTCATATGGCTCCGAGATATGTACTGAGTGCAACAGAAAGAGGGACTTTTCAAAGTTTCACAATCTTTATGAAAACTATCTAGTTTCAACCCTGAAGACTTGTTTGCATAGGAACGGACAGACAAACTCGACTCGGCTGTTGATAGCGTTCAAAAATATATATACTCAATGGGTTCTTCATCTCCATCTATATATATATTCCATATAATTGCAATATCTTAGCAGTGCAACTAATTTTATCTGGACTAATGAAAAACTAATCCTCAAGATTATTATTACAAAGTAATGACGGGCTTTAATAATAAGTAGTTCAAACGTTCTTATGTGCCATAAAATATAGAAATACTAGCTTTTCATATTATTTAGAGTAATTTCTTAAAATGAAGATTTAATACTAGACAGTTTTATTTCCAAAATTTGTTATATCTGAGCAACCATCGTACAACTTTCTCTTGACTTAATGCTAAAAGAAAATAATATTTGAATTAATTTATATTTAAGCACATATAAATAATCAAACAAGTGAAAACTATTTTATTTGAAAATAAATTCGAAGAGAAAACATACAAATTTATGAGGATATTGACGTGAATGCCCAACGAATAGAAGTAATTTTTTAAAGGAGCCTCAATATCAAAATCTCAGTTAGCGCTGAAAATAACTTTAAAATACAGTATTTTCAATTATCAAGTCATTTTACCTTAACAGTCAGTTGGATATATACAAATGTAAGACAATAAAAAATTTATACATTTATCAATATTTTAGTTTACAAGTAACAACAACATTGTGCATTAAGAAGGCCTTTAAAGGGGTATATTGATGAGAATACCACAAGAAAATCTTGTTTTGCATTTGAAATTGTGTTTTTTTTTTGGCGGTAAGTTTGAGTTCCATATAAGGGATCTATAAGAAAACTGATAGATATGGTGCGCGCAAATCGACGTAAGGGCATCGAAGAAGTATATGGCACCAAACTAGAGGCCATGCAACCGGCCCGAATGCAGGCTGTCCCCCAGCCGGGCATGACCAAGACAGCAACAATGCGTGTTAACTCGTCCCGTCAAGGGGATACTCGCACCCAGCGCAGCTATGTAACTGCCAACGATTATTATATTACAACAAATGTACCATTAAACTCCAACAATATGCGTCCTGCAAGCAGTGTGGTAACGCATCCTTCGAAGGCGACTCAGATGCAAATGCAGGTGCAGCCGGCAGCCGCACAGGTTATGAGCTATGGCTCAGTATCGAACCGACGAGTCAAACCTAGCGCCCGCCAGGCGTTGCCCGGACAGCAGGCGAAGGTACATTTTGTGCCACAAGACAACAAGGCCAACTGCCACCCACGTCCACATCCACACACCCATCCATATGCCAAGTCAATGCCCATGCAAATAACTCAGCGCACAGTCTACGGGCAGAATTCAGAGCTGGAGCCGAATCTAACGGAGCTCTCGGACAAGGAACAGATGGACAACACGAATAGTTTGAGTGCCCGTCGACCACGTGGGCATTTGCATGTGAACCCTAACCAGCCGCATTCTCATCCGCTACAGCATCAGCTGCATCAGCAGCAGCAGTTGACTCATCCGAGCATCAACAGTATAAACAATAATCATCAAATGCATCATATGCATCCGAATGTGAAACATCAGCAGCAGCATCAGCATCAGCACCAGCAGCATCAGCAACATCCGCTTCAGCTGCAGCTTCAGCATCAGCATCAGCAGCAGCAGCATCAACGCGGCCCGGTCCATCAGCAACAGCATGGTGGCATGCATGTGCCCGTTGGGACTGATGAAGATGATAAGGATGAGGATCCTGAAGAGTTCTTTGAGCTCATACGCCAAACTGTGCGAAAGGCCGTTGGAGTAAGTATATGCCTTCTAGTCGAAAGAAATAATCTTACGAACACCTTTCTCGAAGACAACCATTTCCGAAATGGTTACACGAAATTTTCGAGACTTGGCTGGAAAAATGGAACGTTTTTCGAATGAACTGAGGATGACCAATGAAAATTTGGGCAAGCTGCAAAATGAAGTTACCAATAGTAGGTATATGCCTGTTTCTTGAAGAGGCCTTCTTTTACCTATCCTTTCGCAGAGGTGACCCACTATGGGGAGGAGAATACACGCCACTTTCGATATTTGTGCATGAAATCTGAATACGATAAGATGTTTTATCAACAGCAAGCATTAACTGCCGGCAAGCGGCAGCCTCCGAAAGTGGCCCCAGCTCCATCAGTTAAACCAAATCCGACGCCACCAGCGTTGCCCACACGAGTTGCCAAGCAGGCAGCTGCTTTTAATTTGAAGGCTGCCAAACAGCTGACAGCCAGAAAGTTGAGCCATGGCAACCAGAAGAAAGCACCAAACGAATGTGTCAAAGTGCAGAATCCTTGTGCATGCCGCAGCACTTCGAAATCATCACACCAGCAGCCGACGGAGGAGCACCAATCTTCATCGGAACATAGCGTCGTTGTTAAGTCCTCGGAACTGGGTGTACGCGAAGTGTTGGGGCAAATACAACGCTTTTGCACACAGATGCAGTTAAGCGATATGAAGGAGGAGCAGCAGAAATATAATCCACAACCTGGACTCTCTAACATGGAGCTAAACGGAAAGACAAGCTCTGCCTCCGCCAACTTGGCTGTCAATCCTTCATACAATAATGGCAAGCCAAAAGCACATATACCGATTGGTGCTCCTCCAGCTGGTGCTCGCGACATGGAGCTGGAGACACCAGTTGATAGCATGGACGAGATTGAGATTGATAATTTCCAATACAGCTCCGACGAAATGTCCTCTTACAGCGATGATAGCGAGGTTAAGTTCAGCGGCAGCACTACAGCACGTGCTCCGCTCCAATCATCTAGGGTAAAGCTCCCAATTCAGCACTCAAACAAAGGTGCCGGCGATGGTCAGTAATCTAGATGAATGCTCCATTCGATAACAATTATCAAACACGAGCCAAGACAACACTCCTCCAACTGAATTTTCCTGAGAAAGACTTGCGTTATGGTTTAATTTTATTTCGATCGCGCTAAATTTTAAATGTCAGATGCCAAGGAGAAAAGTTACCTAGGTACACAAAAAACATTTGGGAATTTTTTATTGAAAGAAATTTGTTAAATGCGTGACTTTGTTTTATTGCCTCAGGAAAATATAAATAATAAAAATAAATTTGTTAAAAATATATTATAATATATAAAGTTCTACAGTCTCGTTTTCTATTAACCAACAATTGAAAGTGAATAGTAATTGTAATTAACCATATCCGATCGAAAATCGAGTGGTTTTCAAAAGTCCATAAATTATTTTATTTAATAATAATAAGTTTTGTTAAAAAAAAAAAACAGTACATTGGTATCGCATTTTAAGCCTCCCAAGCAAAAACTTGTTTGACGTGTGTTTTCGCTTTTGACAATCATCTTCAAAGAGCACATCCGTTGTCTTCTTAGTTGCTACTTACTGCTGACCCATATAATGCCAGGCCACCTGGTACGTAATGCCCACCGGTGTCACTAATAACTGCATATTATATTGACTGCAAAATATGGAAACGCTTACAACGCTAAGCACAAAACATGCCACTGAGAGCTGACACCAAAAGCTAGACATAATTACAAGCCCAATGAATGAATGAATGAGTGAGTGAACGAGTGAGTGGTTGAGGGCCTGAGTGCATGGATGCATAAATGCAACCCAGCAACCAACCCACTCACCCCCATTTGCTGAGCTCTTGCATTTTTATGGGCTTACGGCTGTGCCAGAGCTGCGAGCGCTACGGCCAAAACAGTTGGGATATGGACATGGACGTGGTCGCGTGAATGAATGACTACCTGTAAAGTGAATGACTAACTTAAGTGACGTTTGCTGCTCCCCTACTAAGTTTGAATTGGTTATATATCGCAAGTCTCTGCTAAAAATTGCATAAACAAATTGAACATTTCGCATGACCGAAATTCTACGAATTACTGTCAACTGGCATTGCGCTTGCCCAACTGTAATTAAAGTGCCCAAAGTCACACTTTGACATGCAGACATCAGAACAGTAGGAAAGTCGAACCGACAGCAGCTAAATTAAACTTATGCAATGATATTGGCCTCGGGTCCAAGTGATTCAACGAGTTGCAACTGCAGCAGTTTTGGCTGTTGACGGTCAACAACATTAATTAAAAGTGTTATGCAAAACAATCTAAGCATTTCCGCACCCAACAGCTGCTTGCAATGTCAATGTCCATTGGGGATTTTAGCCCGATTTTCTACCCACTTTGCCATGCACACTGTCAGGGATTTAACTATCCAAACACTATACATAGATATAGAAAATGTATAGAAATATACAAATTACAATACATAAATATTTGTGAATTTATTTTATTTATATTTGTGAATTTATTTTATTAAAAATTGTTTACATATTAATATATCAGCAGACAGCAAATATGGCAAGTCGTACGGTAGTTATTATTGGGATAAAAAAATAAAAGCAATTGCTAATAAAAACAATTTCATCCTAAAATAGTGAACAAATACTTTTAAAAATAGTGCTGAAAACAATTTTTATTACAAATACTGTAGCAACTCGTTAAATGTGCTCTTCTAAAGACAATTTCAATGTATAGAATTTCCATATCGAAGCAGCCCTTTTGACTCACCACCATAAACATTCAAAAACACCCCGCCAAGCCCCGGCACCCCCATGTGCGTGCGCGTGTGTGTAATTTAAAACCAGCTTCAATCAGCCGCCTAATTGTAATGACCAATATTTGAACTTCAACTTCAGCCGGGTGCCAGAAGTCCAAGAACGGGTTACACGTCACAAAATGTTGATTTTTGTAGTTATGAAAAATTTTCACTCAACTATCGAAATGAGTGAGACCGCAGCGTTGAGTGCATAGCCATAACAACGGGCGGAACCCGTCGGCCTAAGCCAAGTTGGCCAAAACAAAACAACCAAAACAGGTGCAAAACATTACGCGACATCGCTGTTCCGGGGGTGGCTGAAAGAAGAACCCAGGGAAACCAGAAAGAAAACAGAAAATTACAAAAAATACACATTGAAAAACCAATACAACATAATTGAAACGCGACTCGGTTTGCTAACAGTTTTCTACCGTGCCACACACAGGTTGCAATTGCAGAGCTGCACCCGTTGATAGGCGCAACGCAATTGATTGTCAATCCGCAAACAACAAAAACCAAAGAAAACAAATATAATTAAAGTACATATATTTAAATCGAATTGTTGTGCTGTGATACGTTTGCGTGGACAAACATAAAACGACAAATGTTTAATTGACCCTAAAATCACTGAAGCATTCAATTTAAATTTTTGCTCTCGCCTTGTGTTTTTTTGATAGTCGAACCAAAGCACAGAACAGCTGCGGATCATAGCCCCGCGAATAGTGTGCATATAATCTGCTATTAAAACTTGTCAATTCTAGTGAACGAACATATAAATAAAACTATCAACAAAATTAGAAATAAATAAATATACATAAATAAAATGAAACGTAGCTCTATTAACAATCCAATTTTCTATAAATACCATAGCGGGTCATAATATTTCCCTAGAAAATAGCTATTGATTTTTCTTTTGCTCTCTTGGCACATTTTCTGCTGGACGTTTTTCAAATGAAATGAAAATATGAAAAACTAAAATTTTTGCCACCGTATTACTTTGCACTGATACGAACGAAAAGCGTGAAAAGCGGGAAAAGAACTGTGCCAAGCCAAACTAAAGCTTACCCAGCTGTGTATGTGTGTGTGCGTGTGTGTGCCTCTGTGTTAGTGTAACCATTTTTAATGCGATTAAAGTGCAACACTCTCCCAAAGAGTCCGAAGCCAAAGCGGAATGGCAAATGCTAAAATTGTGCACAAGAAGAGCAATGCATAACGATTCTCACAGTACATTCACAAGTATTTCGAACCTACGATGATAGTTTTTCCCGCACTGAATGCCAGAATTATCAATTTTTGCTTTTCCGTAGGCAACTTGCTTTACTCGCGACAATAAAATGCTGCCAATTAACCATAAATGTTAAAAGGCGCAGAAAATCAAAAACAAGAATTATAAAAATAAAAAAATTGTTCAATTAAACAAACGCAAAATAACTGCAAAGATCATGAGTGGCTTGCAGATCATTTGGAAATCGCCAACACAATTGGGTATGTTTTTAATGAAGTCCATGGGGAGTAGATAAAACAAGAAAGATGACATAATTAAGGTCCTGTAAAATAAACAACCAAATTTATTTATTGCATCCATTTATATATTATTCACACCGATATTAACCACAGATAATGCTGTAAATTAATAGAGTATTATCATTATTATTGTTATTCTTATTATTATGATTATTATGATTATTATTATTATTGTTATTATTATTATTAGAATTAGTATTATTATTATTATTATTATTATTATTATTATTATTATTATTATTAATGTAATGTGACGTGTAATGCGACCGCGAGTGTCTATAGTGTCTCGGTCTGGTAAATGAAATATTTGCAAGAATGCAATAATTTCCCCATGTTCGCTTCTCTGTTGCCAATTGTCTACTTTTGTTTCCGTTTTGAATTCATAATGACCATCAAACACAACAAATACCGAATCGAATCTTTGCAGTGTTATTTGTTCTGCTCATCACAATAAGCTGCATAGATCTTTGCCATGCGGTTGGTGCTGCCACTCCCACCAAAAAGTCACCACCGGTACGTATAACGAAACCACAACCAGTCAGCAGCACCACCACTGCAATACCAACGACCAATGAGGGTAGCACCACTGGTGAGCAGCTGGCATTACTGGTGTCTTCCACAACAGAGGGCACAGCAAGCAGTGCCAGCAGCAGTAGCAACGGCGGCAGCGACGACAGCAGCAGCACGACTGCAGCTGGCAGCTTGGTACCGGAGATATGCATTACTGGACTGCAGTTGAGCTTTACCAATGCTGATGGAGAGCAGGTGGTGCGCAAGCAGCAGGAGCTTGTGCAGGTCATTGAGGGTGATGTAATGCTGAGTGTAATTACAAGCGATCCCGTCTCGGCGCTGTTTGTCATCAATCGAGTGAATCAGGCAAATCTTATATCTGCAGACTTTGAAGTTGGTAAGCAATAAAAGCGAAAGCTGCAAAGAAAATTGGGATATATATTTGAATATTCCGTCTAACAGGCATTCGTGCTATAAATGTGGACAATGCAAGTCTGGCGGAGAATCTGCTCATACAGGAGGTGCAATATTTGCAGCAGTGCACACAGTATTCTATGGGCATATTTATAGACTTTGATCTCTATAAGCGCCTCGAGTCGATAATCAGGGATTTGGAGTATAATGTATGGCCTATACCCTCGGCGCGTGCTCATCTATTTCCAAAAGTGGCGCACCTGCTGCATCAAATGCCCTGGGGTGAAAAGATTGCCTCTGTCGAAATTGTGACTGAAACTTTGGATATATATAATGAATTCATGGATGCCGCCAGACAGGAGCATATGTGTTTGATGCACTTCAAGAGTGACGATAATGTTTATATACTATTTGGTAATAAGATGGCCAATCACTTTAAGGAGAACGGCACAGTGTTTGCTGTGCCCACGGAGCGCACGGAACATATATTTTTAGAGGGTAAGTTCGATTTGGAACTAAATTGGAATAGGCTTATTATCGATTTGATTACAGAGCTGCCCAATAAGTCGTTTATACTAATGGAAAATGGAATAGAATTGCGCACCGCTGACTTGGATCCAATGCCCACAACGCTGGATGAGGTGCTCATTGGGAAGAGCGTGTTGCCCTCGCGCATCCTTGTCTTCGCCAGCCCCATTGTGGATCTGATGAACTGGCTGAGAGGCTCACTGGCCAAACACTGCAAGCGTGATGAGGATCTGTACATGCTGGAGAGCTGTTTCAATTTTCTCAATTTCATTGAGGACTGGCGCACACCGGAGTATCGTCGTACGCATGATACTGCAGAACTGCTGTCGCTGCTGCGCATGCGCAAACTGTCCAGCTCAATGCTCTTCCAGATGTACCAGAAAAAGCAGGAAACCGTGGATGTCATAACTGGCGAATCGCGCATGGAGCTGC